TGACGAATCTCGACCCGTCAAGGATTTACTCAATACTCAGTAATTGCGTCCTGCAGGGGAAGATTGCAGACGATTCCCAAATACTGCAACATGAGACATCGTTAAGTCCACAACAAGATAATCGGCTTTGCAGTTGCCATGGACACCGCCAGTGACCTGACTGCGTAGAGCCTGTTTAGCCTCTGATGTGGGCTTAGCTTTCTCATTGGCTATTCGAGTCAGGTCCAGCTCATGACTCGGGGATTTGGCATGGTTGCGGCTGTTAGGCTTCGGAGGCCATGCCTGGTTTAGGAGAGCAGAAAAAGCGCGGGAAACTCGGAGGCAGAAATGTTTTTGTGCAGAGTGGCGGAGATGTTTGGCGCCCTCTGTGTGCAGGTTAGTGATGATATTGAGATATGTGTCTATATTATGGTACAGTATTTAATACATTTCTTATTAAACACTAATATTTACATAACTTTTACGGACAGTATTGTATAAAATATATATTTCTAAAGATAACATATGATGAACACGCAAATGTTCACCCTCTGAACACGTGTTTTTGCACGACCCGTCAGACATCTCGCTGCCTGACACGTCGTCTACTGAACACCTGTTCTACACGTCACCAAACCTCACCAGAAGCCTCCCCCACTTACTGTTATGTTGTGCATGTTCGTCTGACCAAACTATTGTGTCTAGTAGACTGTAACGGTCCTCTGGCAGTGGCATTCTTTTTAGACTAATTATCTTTTATCAGTAAATTAAGTGGGCAGTTGAGGAAGGCTTGCAGTGGAATATAATGATGAATCGAATTAATGTAAAAAATAATGTTTTACTTGTGATGTATTTCGAGAGTTCTCCTATCTCCAGGCAGCGGAGGCATGGTAGAGGACCGGGCCGCGGGGACGTTGAGCCCCGAAATCATCGCAAGGTACCGGCAAGCTATCCCCACAGCGGAGTCCGAACCCAGACTTTTATGCACCCGAAAAAAACTTATAGTGCACATAAATAAAAAAAACATGTACAGTTGTACCCAAAAATGTCAATGTTTTGTACTATTGGTTCAGTCAAGACAACAACCAACTCTAACTTTTCCTAGTGTGTGTACCCTAGTATGTGTACCCTAGTGTGTGTACCCTAGTGTGTGTACCCTAGTGTGTGTACCCTAGTGTGTGTACCCTAGTGTGTGTACCCAGGTGTGTGTACCCTAGTATGTGTACCCTAGTGTGTGTACCCTAGTGTGTGTACCCTAGTGTGTGTACCCTATTATGTGTACCCCTAGTGTGTGTACCCTAGTGTGTGTACCCTAGTATGTGTACCCTAGTGTGTGTACCCTAGTATGTGTACCCTAGTGTGTGTACCCTAGTATGTGTACCCTAGTGTGTGTACCCTAGTGTGTGTACCCTAGTGTGTGTACCCAGGTGTGTGTACCCTAGTATGTGTACCCTAGTATGTGTACCCTAGTGTGTGTACCCTAGTGTGTGTACCCAGGTGTGTGTACCCTAGTATGTGTACCCTAGTGTGTGTACCCTACCCTAGTGTGTGTACCCTAGTGTGTGTACCCTATTATGTGTACCCCTAGTGTGTGTACCCTAGTGTGTGTACCCTGGTATGTGTACCCTAGTGTGTGTACCCTAGTATGTGTACCCTAGTGTGTGTACCCTAGTATGTGTACCCTAGTGTGTGTACCCTAGTGTGTGTACCCTAGTATGTGTACCCTAGTGTGTACCCTAGTGTGTGTACCCTAGTATGTGTACCCTAGTGTGTACCCTAGTGTGTGTACCCTAGTGTGTGTACCCTAGTATTTGTACCCTAGTGTGTGTACCCTAGTGTTACCCTAATGTGTGTACCCTAGTATGTGTACCCTAATGTGTGTACCCTAATGTGTGTATCCTAGTGTTACCCTAGTGTGTGTACCTAGCATGTGTACCCTAGTGTGTGTACCCTAGTATGTGTACCCCTAGTATGTGTACCCTAGTGTGTGTACCCTAGTATGTGTACCCTAGTGTGTGTGTCCCCTAGTATGTGAACCCTAGTGTGAGTGTTCCCTAGTATGTGAACCCTAGTGTGTGTACCCTAGTGTGTGTACCCTAGGATGTGTACCATAGTATGTGCAAGGTACAGATACGTATTAAATTACGGCTAAAACTGCGCATGTTAGGCCTATGAAAGCATGTGTTTGACCAAGCATTGCGTATTTAGGCCTAGGACAGACTAGGACTATGATTAGACTGTTTCAGCTTTTGCCATGACCATTGAAATTCCAATCGTTCAAAACCTGAAGATCTTCAGGGTACAGTAACATAAGTCATTCCGAGGCTAGTTGTACTGAGAGAACACAAGTGTTAAAGTTGGTGACTCCAGCAGTGGTCTGCTGTGTACTCAGGGTCTCCAAGCCTGGCGCAGAGACCCTTATAGTATAGCTGTACCCGGCCACGCGTTGCTGTGGCTCAGCATCCACACCAACCTTCCCTGTCCCCCAGTCCTCCCAAAAATTCCCCCCTCACCCGTCTCCTCGGCCTCCCCACCATTCCCTACTCCACCATCTCCTCTTCCTCCCCACCATTCCCTACTCCACCATCCCCTCTTCCTTCCAACCATGCCTCATTCCCCTGTCCTTTTGTCCTCCCCACCATTCTCCATTCCCCCATACCCTCGTTCCCACCACCCCAAACTCCCCCGTCCCTCTCCATCCCCACCATTCCCCACTCCCTCGTCCGATGCCTTCCCAAATGGTCTGATGTTCCCATTAGAAAATTGGGAACATCAAGTGATCTGATGTTCCCATCACTGAAATATAAGAAAAACAGTTAAAAAAATAAATGAAAATATGAACAAATAAGAAAATAAACAACTTTTATATCGTAAATAGCGAAAGGAACGTTGTGTGAAAATTTCAAAGCAATCGGTGAAGAACTTTCGGAAATTAGCGGTTATGCACAAACGAACATTTCCATTTTTATTTATAAGGATATGTATATGTGTTATGTATATGTTTGTATATATAGGTATATGTGCGTGTATATATAACATTAATAATTGTGTAATTAGCGTCAAAAGATTGTTATTTGGTTAGCTGAACGAACTTGGCGGTTCAGTTCCTGAACCGATTATGTGCCTCTGTAACCCTTTACACCACCGCCCACGGTATGGGTATGGGGTGAATAATAAAGAAAGACATTGAATACGGTCCACAGACGCCGTCCTCTTGTGTGTGCTCTGATACACAACATGGCAGACATGAACCTTAGTCCAGGCTGTGTTGTTGGGGACGCTTCCCTTTCTCAGAACATTGTTAAATACCCTAATCTTCTTAACAGGCGAGATCTGACTCAAGTATCTGTCCCTCTGTCCCCCCCACCCCCCCATCCATCTCTTCTCTCCCCACCACTCACAATCTGCCCCTCTGTCCCCCCCACCCCCCCATCCATCTCTTCTCTCCCCACCACTCACAATCTGCCCCTCTGTCCCCCCCACCCCCCCATCCATCTCTTCTCTCCCCACCACTCACAATCTGTCCCTCTGTCCCCCCACCCCCCCATCCATCTCGTCTCTCCCCACCACTCACAATCTGTCCCTCTGTCCCCCCCACCCCCCCATCCATCTCTTCTCTCCCCACCACTCACAATCTGCCCCTCTGTCCCCCCCACCCCCCCATCCATCTCTTCTCTCCCCACCACTCACAATCTGTCCCTCTGTCCCCCCCACCCCCCCATCCATCTCTTCTCTCCCCACCACTCACAATCTGTCCCTCTGTCCCCCCCACCCCCCCATCCATCTCTTCTCTCCCCACCACTCACAATCTGTCCCTCTGTCCCCCCCACCCCCCCATCCATCTCTCTCTCTCCCCACCACTCACAATCTTCAATTTGGTTCTCTCTTTTTTTTTGTCCTTTGCCTTTGCTTTTTTGTAATTTTTCGGTCTCACACTCTAAACATATGTCGTCTGGCGGAGTTGTGTATTGGGACGTAGGAGTTTTTACCCCTCACTTTCACCCCTTCCCCTACTAAGTGCAGTGGCCCCTTCCCTCCCCTCCCCCCCCCTCACACTCATAGTTCCCTTAACCCCCTTCCCTAACCACTTCCCTGCACACTTTAACTCGCTGAAGATGAGGATTATAAGAAAAGGATAAGTGAGATACGTTTGAAAGATTACAAAGTGAAATTCATGTGGGTTCCATCTCATGTTGGAATAGTGCTCAAGGAGGTGGCGGAGGACCTGGCCAAACGCGCCACATCAACACCACAAGTTGACATTGAATATGTTTTAACAATGAGTCAAATAAGAAGCAAATTAAGATATATTCAGGCATAAGCAGAAGTGGCGAGGAGAGGTATAATGTATGAGGGAAGCCAAACCATGCAACACTACATGTGTGTGAGTCAGAACACCCATATGACTTATGGTAAAATGAGAAATGTTTGGAGTGACTCTGTGCACATGCGGCTCAGGCTTGGGTACAAATATTACTGGAAATATGGGATATGTGTTAATGATAATACCACGAAGTGTGAACTATGTGGTATGTTAAGGTCTCACACCCTCACCCATTATGTTCATGTTTGTTGATTAACGTATATAGAAACACTGGGATAAGGCCTATTCCTGAACAAATAGCCTGGATATGCCACGACGGAAAGATTGATGATATTCTGGAGCGATATAAAAAATTTGCATCAAGAATTACTTTGTTGAATTGTCTGAATGTCTATTGCAAATTGTCTGTGTCTAGTCATACAAGTATTTGTGAGTACGTCTGGTAAGATACTGCATGTGTAAAGGAAGAAATGTATGTGTATCACTCAGAATGTTCAGTAACATGTTGTTTGTGATGTGTGTTTATATATTAGTTGTACTGAACGGGGTGAGAATAGCTTGAGCTACCTCATCCCTTTGTCTATATTTATTCCTCAATAAACCTATTTCAATTTCAAAAGGGTAAGTAATGATCGCGGGATGAAGAAGGATGAGTTGATATTGTGTATATACAGGATGAGGATGGAGCCCGAGGCGGCTATACACGTCGGTGGTCTGTCCACCGAGGATCCGAACTCATCTTATTAGCAGTGGTGTTGGTGGTAACATTCTTGGCTGGTGGCACGGACAGCTGGTGGCGCGGACAGCTGGTGGCGCGGACAGCTGGTGGCGCGGACAGCTGGTGGCGCGGACAGCTGGTGGCGCGGACAGCTGGTGGCGCGGACAGCTGGTGGCGCGGACAGCTGGTGGCACGGACAGCTGGTGGCGCGGACAGCTGGTGGCGCGGACAGCTGGTGGCGCGGACAGCTGGTGGCGAGGACAGCTGGTGGCGCGGACAGCTGGTGGCGCGGACAGCTGGTGGTGTGGACAGCTGGTGGCGTGGACAGCTGGTGGCGAGGACAGCTGGTGGCGCGGACAGCTGGTGGCGTGGACAGCTGGTGGCGCGGACAGCTGGTGGCGTGGACAGCTGGTAGCGTAGACAGCTGGGGGCGTGGACAGGTGGGGGTGTGGACAGCTGGGGCGTTGACAGCTGGGGGCGTAGAAAGCTAGGGGCGCGGACAGCTGGGGCGTGGACAGCTGGGGGCGTGGACAGCTGGGGGCGTGGACAGCTGGGGGTGTGGACAGCTGGGGCGTAGACAGCTGGGGGCGTAGACAGCAGGGGGCGCGGACAGCTGGGGGCGTGGACAGCTGGTGGGGTGGACAGCTGGTGGCGCGGACAGCTGGGGGCGCGGACAGCTGGTGGCGTGGACAGCTGGTGGCGAGGACAGCTGGGGGCGCGGACAGCTGGTGGCGCGGACAGCTGGTGGCGCGGACAGCTGGTGGCGTGGACAGCTGGTGGCGTGGACAGCTGGTGGCGTGGACAGCTGGTGGCGCGGACAGCTGGAGGCGTGGACAGCTGGTAGCGTAGACAGCTGGGGGCGTGGACAGGTGGGGGTGTGGACAGCTGGGGCGTAGACAGCTGGGGGCGTGGACAGCTGGGGGTGTGGACAGCTGGGGGCGTGGACAGCTGGAGGCGTGGACAGCTGGGGGTGTGGACAGCTGGGGCGTAGACAGCTGGGGGCGTAGACAGCAGGGGGCGCGGACAGCTGGGGGCGTGGACAGCTGGTGGGGTGGAGAGCTGGTGGCGCGGACAGCTGGTGGCGTGGACAGCTGGTGGCGCGGACAGCTGGTGGCGCGGACAGCTGGTGGCGAGGACAGCTGGTGGCGAGGACAGCTGATGGCGTGGACAGTTGGGGGCGCAGACAGCTGGGGGCGTGGACAGCTGGGGGCGTGGACAGCTGGGGGCGTGGACAGCTGGGGGCGTGGACAGCTGGGGGCGTGGACAGCTGGGGGCGTGGACAGCTGGGGGCGTGGACAGCTGGGGGCGCGGACAGCTGGGGCGTGGACAGCTGGTGGCGCGGACAGCTGGTGGCGCGGACAGCTGGTGGCGTGGACAGCTGGGAGTGTGGACAGCTGGGGCGTGGACAGATGGTGGCGCGGACAGCTGGTGGCGCGGACAGCTGGTGGCGTGGACAGCTGGGGGCGCGTACAGCTGGGGGCGTGGACAGCTGGGGGCGTGGACAGCTGGGGGCGTAGACAGCTGGGGGCGCGTACAGCTGGGGGCGTGGACAGTTGGGGGCGTGGACAGCTGGTGGCGCGGACAGCTGGGGGCGTGGACAGCTGGGGGCGCGTACAGCTGGGGGCGTGGACAGTTGGGGGCGTGGACAGCTGGTGGCGCGGACAGCTGGGGGCGTGGACAGCTGGGGGCGTGGACAGCTGGGGGCGTGGACAGCTGGGGGCGTAGACAGCTGGGGGCGCGGACAGCTGGGGCGTGGACAGCTGGGGGCGTGGACAGCTGGTGGCGCGGACAGCTGGGGGCGTGGACAGCTGGGGGCGTGGACAGCTGGGGGCGTGGACAGTTGGGGCGTAGACAGCTGGGGGCGTAGACAGCTGGGGGCGCGGACAGCTGGGGCGTGGACAGCTGGGGGCGTGGACAGCTGGGGCGCGGACAGCTGGGGGCGTGGACAGTTGGGGGCGTGGACAGCTGGTGGCGCGGACAGCTGGGGGCGTGGACAGCTGGGGGCGTGGACAGCTGGGGGCGTGGACAGCTGGGGGCGTAGACAGCTGGGGGCGTGGACAGCTCGGGGCGTAGACAGCGGGGGGGGGGGGGGAAAGGCGGTCTTGCTGCTTCCGTTTGAGCGCCTGGCTTGTGTTCCAGAGTGACGTTGGTATTGCAGCTTCGCGCAATAGCAACTGTCGTGACTCACCGTACTGACGCCAGAGCTTGCTGACCCCCGAACACTACGACACTGAGGTAGATGCAGAAACCAAGTCAGCAAGAATGTAAGACGGAACACTGCCAGTGTCTGGTCGAGGCATAGGTGTTGCAGGGGTCGATGTTGCCATTGCATGAACAGTAAGATGGTCATCCGGAACAATGATGGTTGTCAAGCCATTTGCAGCAGAAAGCGTGTTGATTGCAGTAACGATCACTCTATTGTTCGTCCCGGCCATCCTCTTTGCTAGGAGTAGAGCAGAAACTATACCTGTGTCTGCGGATGGTGGTGGCTGGGTTGTTGGTGGTGGCTGCTGGGTTGTTGGTGGTGGCTGCTGGGTCGTTGGTGGTGGCTGGGTTGTTGGTGGTGGCTGCTGGGTCGTTGGTGGTGGCTGGGTTGTTGGTGGTGGCTGGGTCGTTGGTGGTGGCTGCTGGGTCGTTGGTGGTGGCTGCTGGGTTGTTGGTGGTGGCTGGGTCGTTGGTAGTGGCTGCTGGGTTGTTGGTGGTGGCTGGGTCGTTGGTGGTGGCTGCTGGGTCGTTGGTGGCGGCTAGGTTGTTGGTGGTGGCTGGGTCGTTGGTGGTGGCTGGGTTGTTGGTGATGGCGGCTGGGTCGTTGGTGGTGGCTGGGTCGTTGGTGGTGGCTGGGTCGTTGGTGGTGGCTGCTGGGTCGTTGGTGGCTGCTGGGTCGTTGGTGGTAGCTGCTGGGTCGTTGGTGGTGGCTGCTGGGTCGTTGGTGGTGGCTGGGTCGTTGGTGGTGGCTGGGTCGTTGGTGATGGCTGCTGGGTCGTTGGTGGTGGCTGCTGGGTCGTTGGTGATGGCTGCTGGGTCGTTGGTGGTGGCTGGGTCGTTGGTGGTGGCTGGGTCGTTGGTAGCTGATGGGTCGTTGGTGGCTGCTGGGTCGTTGGTGGTGGCTGCTGGGTCGTTGGTGGTGGCTGGGTCGTTGGTGGTGGCTGGGTCGTTGGTGGTGGCTGGGTCGTTGGTGATGGCTGCTGGGTCGTTGGTGGTGGCTGCTGGGTCGTTGGTGATGGCTGCTGGGTCGTTGGTGGTGGCTGGGTCGTTGGTGGTGGCTGCTGGGTCGTTGGTGGTGGCTGGGTCGTTGGTGGTGGCTGGGTCGTTGGTGGTGGCTGGGTCGTTGGTGATGGCTGCTGGGTCGTTGGTGGTGGCTAGGTTGTTGGTGGTGGCTGGGTCGTTGGTGGTGGCTGGGTTGTTGGTGATGGCGGCTGGGTCGTTGGTGGTGGCTGGGTCGTTGGTGGTGGCTGGGTTGTTGGTGGTGGCTGCTGGGTCGTTGGTGGTGGCTGGGTTGTTGGTGGTGGCTGGGTCGTTGGTGGTGGCTGCTGGGTCGTTGGTGGTGGCTAGGTTGTTGGTGGTGGCTGGGTCGTTGGTGGTGGCTGGGTCGTTGGTGGTGGCTGGGTTGTTGGTGATGGCGGCTGGGTCGTTGGTGGTGGCTGCTGGGTCGTTGGTGGCTGCTGGGTCGTTGGTGGTGGCTGCTGGGTCGTTGGTGGTGGCTGGGTCGTTGGTGGTGGCTGGGTCGTTGGTGGTGGCTGGGTCGTTGGTGTTGGCTGCTGGGTCGTTGGTGGTGGCTGCTGGGTCGTTGGTGATGGCTGCTGGGTCGTTGGTGGTGGCTGGGTCGTTGGAGGTGGCTGCTGGGTCGTTGGTGGTGGCTGGGTCGTTGGTGGTGGCTGGGTCGTTGGTGGTGGCTGGGTCGTTGGTGATGGATGCTGGGTCGTTGGTGGTGGCTGCTGGGTCGTTGGTGATGGCTGCTGGGTCGTTGGTGGTGGCTGGGTCGTTGGTGGTGGCTGCTGGGTCGTTGGTGGTGGCTGGGTCGTTGGTGATGGCTGCTGGGTCGTTGGTGGTGGCTGGGTCGTTGGTGATGGCTGCTGGGTCGTTGGTGGGGGCTGCTGGGTCGTTGGTGGGGGCTGCTGGGTCGTTGGTGGTGGTGGCTGGGTCGTTGGTGGCTGCTGGGTCGTTGGTGGTGGCTGGTTCGTTGGTGGCTGCTGGGTCGTTGGTGGTGGCTGCTAGGTCGTTGGTGGTGGCTGGGTCGTTGGTGATGGCTAGGTCGTTGGTGGCTGCTGGGTCATTGGTGGTGGCTGGGTCGTTGGTGGCTGCTGGGTCGTTGGTGGTGGCTGGGTCGTTGGTGGCTGCTGGGTCGTTGGTGGTGGCTGGGTCGTTGGTGATGGCTAGGTCGTTGGTGGCTGCTGGGTCGTTGGTGGTGGCTGCTGGGTCGTTGGTGGTGGCTGGGTCGTTGGTGATGGCTAGGTCGTTGGTGGTGGCTGGGTCGTTGGTGGTGGCTGGGTCGTTGGTGATGGCTGCTGGGTCGTTGGTGAGGGCTGCTGGGTCGTTGGTGGGGGCTGCTGGGTCGTTGGTGGTGGTGGCTGGGTCGTTGGTGGCTGCTGGGTCGTTGGTGGTGGCTGGGTCGTTGGTGGCTGCTGGGTCGTTGGTGGTGGCTGCTAGGTCGTTGGTGGTGGCTGGGTCGTTGGTGATGGCTAGGTCGTTGGTGGCTGCTGGGTCGTTGGTGGTGGCTGGGTCGTTGGTGGCTGCTGGGGTCGTTGGTGGTGGCTGGGTCGTTGGTGGCTGCTGGGTCGTTGGTGGTGGCTGGGTCGTTGGTGATGGCTAGGTCGTTGGTGGCTGCTGGGTCGTTGGTGGTGGCTGCTGGGTCGTTGGTCGTGGCTGGGTCGTTGGTGATGGCTAGGTCGTTGGTGGTGGCTGGGTTGTTGGTGGTGGCTGGGTCGTTGGTGGTGGCTGCTGGGTCGTTGGTGGTGGCTGCTGGGTCGTTGGTGGTGGCTGCTGGGTCGTTGGTGGCTGCTGGGTCGTTGGTGGTGGCTAGGTCGTTGGTGGTGGCTGGGTTGTTGGTGATGGCGGCTGGGTCGTTGGTGGTGGCTGGGTCGTTGGTGGTGGCTGGGTTGTTGGTGATGGCGGCTGGGTCGTTGGTGGTGGCTGGGTCGTTGGTGGTGGCTGGGTTGTTGGTGGTGGCTGCTGGGTCGTTGGTGGTGGCTGGGTTGTTGGTGGTGGCTGGGTCGTTGGTGGTGGCTGCTGGGTCGTTGGTGGTGGCTGCTGGGTCGTTGGTGGTGGCTAGGTTGTTGGTGGTGGCTGGGTCGTTGGTGGTGGCTGGGTCGTTGGTGGTGGCTGGGTTGTTGGTGATGGCGGCTGGGTCGTTGGTGGTGGCTGCTGGGTCGTTGGTGGCTGCTGGGTCGTTGGTGGTGGCTGCTGGGTCGTTGGTGGTGGCTGGGTCGTTGGTGGTGGCTGGGTCGTTGGTGGTGGCTGGGTCGTTGGTGATGGCTGCTGGGTCGTTGGTGGTGGCTGCTGGGTCGTTGGTGATTGGGTCGTTGGTGGGGCTGCTGGGTCGTTGGTGGGGTCTGCTGGGTCGTTGGTGGTGGTGGCTGGGTCGTTGGGTGGCTGCGGGGTCGTTGGTGGTGGCCCTGGGTCGTTGGTGGCTGCCTGGGTCGTTGGGGTGGTTGGGGGGGGGGGGGGTGGGGTGGCTGCTAGGTCGTTGGTTGGTGGCTCGGGGCGTTGGTGATGGCTAGGTCGTTGGTGGCTGCTGGGGCGTTGGTGGTGGCTGGGGTCTTTGGGTGGCTGCTTGGGTCTTTGGTGGTGGCTGGGTCGTTGGTGGCTGCTGGTTCGTTTGGTGGTGGCTGGGGTCTTTGTGATGGCTAGGTCGTTGGTGGCTTCTGGGTCGGTTGGTGGTGGCTGCTGGGTCGTTGGTTCGTGGCTGGGGTCTTGGTGATGGCTAGGTTTTGGTGGTGGCTGGGTTGTTGGTGGTGGCTGGGTCGTTGGTGGTGGCTGCTGGGTCGTTGGTGGTGGCTGCTGGGTCGTGGGGTGGTGGCTGCTGGGTCGTTGGTGGCTGCTGGGTCGTTGGTGGTGGCTAGGTCGTTTGGTGGTGGCTGGGTGGTGGTGATGGCGGGCTGGGTCGTGGGTTGGTGGCGTGGTTCCGTTTGGGTGGTGGCTGGGTTGTTGGTGATGGCGGCTGGGTCGTTGGTGTGGCTGGGTCGTTGGTGGTGGCTGGGTTGTTGGTGGTGGCGGCTGCTGGCGTGTTGGTGGTGGCTGGGTTGTTGGTGGTGGCTGGGTCGTTTGTGGTGGCTGCTGGGTCGGTGGTGGTGGCTGCTGGGTCGTTGTGGTGGCTAGGTTGTTGGTGGTGGCTGGGGTCGTTGGTGGTGGCGGGTCGTTGGTGGGTGGCTGGGGTTGTTGGTGATGGCGGCTGGGGTCGTTGGTGGTGGCTGCTGGTCGTTGTGGCGTGCTGGGGTCGTTGTGGTGGCTGCTGGGTCCGTTGGTGGTGGCTGGGTCGATTGGTGGTGGCTGGGTCGTGGTGGTGTGGCTGGGTCGCTTGGGATTGTGGGAAAAACCTGCTGGGATTAATATAAGAGGAGACTACCAGGGACTTGTACTGAACTAAATTAAAAAATTTACTGTCTGCAAATTAATTCAACTAAAATCTCTAGCTAGGGTTGTAAATCCTAGATCCTCTTTTCCTAATGACAAACTGTGGGCTGTAAGGGACAGGTGGGGTGAATGACTATGTTGATAGAAGTTCCAATCCACCTGTAGACAGGGATCTCACATCAGCTTGTATTTTATACAAGGATAAGATTTAATAAATTCTGTTATCTGACTGAACACTGGCTCTGTTTAAATCAGGGATTTAAACATACATAGTCTAACCTAGTACCATAACTTAACAGCCAATATGTACTTATACTATAAACAACAAATTAAATTGTAAAAGTATAAATAAATGACCTTAAATGTAGTCTTAATACTATTAACTTAGTACTAGAAATTATATTCAATTAAATGAACTTATATGATAACTTAAAAATTAACTAAGCAAGCAATTGATAACTTAATTTATATATTCAAATATATATGCAGACATATTCAATTTATACAGTTAGCTTGACTGAATCTTTTCCAACGCTGTGGACACTTGTGAGGTTTTTACTTATTGAGACTGAATTCTTTTCTGACAGAATGGACACTCATGAGGTTCAGTGCTTGGATAAGATTCACAGCTACACTACAATTTTAATAAACGTACCGATGAATGAGGCTTTGCCTCGCTTTTTAACCAACAGACAGATTTATAGGATATTAAAGTTACACAAGCATACAATTGGCCAATCATACACCAAATAACCCTCAATATACTTCTCTGCCAGTCGGGGTGCCTGTCTGACAAGTTTGCCAGACTGATTAACTCTCTCTTGTTGAGTTTAGGCACGATATTTTGCTACAGCGTTGCTGTATG